CTCACCGTTCCTATGGAAGTTACATTTTAAAATCTTTCTCTGTTTAATTTATGATTTAAAAAGATACACATGTGGAGAAAAAAACATCTTTTATTAGCTTTGTGGGTATAAAGAGTAACAAAGTGCTTACAGATTTAAATCAGGTTCATAAGTAAGTGGCATACAGGAAAAAGAGGTAATACTGTAAAAATAAATCTGACCTTGTCGCAGCTCATAATTACAATTTTTTATATATATATATATAGATATATATTTAAAGACATCTTTCTGTTATTGCCAGAACTGAGTATCTATCATCTCCTCAAAGCATTTTCAGAATCCAGGTGTGGTAGGAAAAACGTTATCATCGCCCAAGTTCTAGGACATGGTTCAGCAAAAGGTTTCCAGTTAAACCACTGTTTATCGAAGCTTGACAGGTTTACAAAACAAGAGTGCAGTGCCCTGGCTTGCCTTGCTTACACTTTAAATGCTAAATCTGGTCCTGACAATAATAAAACATCCATGGTCCCAGTCTGGCCCCGCTGGCTTTCCCTTTGGTTAATGGAATACCGCGCAAGTGCATGGTTTGAGTCTGTAAGTCCAATTAAGTAAAGGCCAATGCTGTTACTTACTTAAAGTCTCATCATCTCAGGCCCAATGAATGGCTTTACAGAACTGCTAAAATGAGTTAACATGCTCGCCAGGGAAATCATTGACCAAAAAAAAATGAGCATGATGTGATGTACACCCCTGGTAACAAAGAGACTGTTTCACATGTTCCAGGTGGTGTTCGCCTCTCCTATGGACGCTGCCTTGCTTGCCCAGACCTCTCCTTTAGATAACGATTCTCTCTCTTAGGGAGCGCTCCCCCAGACTCTGTATAAGGATTTGTGTTCTTTTCTATCCCCGAAGTGTGTAATCAGTTTGACCGCAGTGTAGTTCACTTGCGGCACAAGCTGAAGAGCGTGGTGCTTACACGTTCCATAGCTACACAAACGGTGGAAGCTTCAGCGGGTAGAAACGTGTAATGCGGGCGGGGAGGGCTGAGTTAGGCAAAGCGAGGAGCTTTATCCAGAAACTGGGTTTCTCAATGAAATGCGTAACTATACACATTGGGACGTGCTTTTTTGCTTTGTTGGTTTTTTGAACATGAGAGTCAAGCGATTTTTTTTTTTTTTTTTAATATAGGTAAGAGCTCAGAACCACAGACTGGTTAAGACGAGCGGATTATTTTGCCTTCTCTGGTTTCTTATGCCAGAATTGCGGTTTTTTTGTTACTAAATTTTAAGTGCACGTGAAGGATATTTTGTCAGCCAAACTTGTTTTAAAACTTTCTCAAAACCCCATAAAAATAATTACATTAATGTATCAAGGTGTCTTATGTTCACTAGTTCAGTTACCCAAGGGATGAGCATGTGCAGCAGACTTGTTTTAAACGCTACAGATTGCACTAAGAACTGCAGCATTTTTTGACACTGCCCTTTCAGTTCACAGTCATCAGGGTCGTTCAAATTGTAGCGAGACCATAATCGGACAAAGATAAAACTGCCTTGCAATAACAGCAGCAAAAGGAGTTGAAGCTATTGTTTCTGCCATACCTTTTAATTAATTTGATCCAACTGTTGACTAAAATTAAAAAGGAAAACTGTTGGAAAAAGAATCCTTTAAACACATTAGCACAGTCAGAGTACAAATTACAGTAGTTAAAAAAATGAAAGGTCTTGGGCATTTATACTTTGACACGCATTTAAAGTACTGACAGTATAAAAAAAAAATTAATTACATTTTACTCATAATTGTTTCAAATCCTTGAATCAGATTGTGAAAGGTTGTCCGTTCATCATGCTTGAATATCCAGCACTTCCGCATCAGCTGGTCCACCTAACAAGAAAAAAACCAGAAATTTTTAAAGGCTGCATAAAACATTTCATTGGTTTTTCCAGTAAATGTGGGGGAGCAGGTTCTCACTACTATGAAATTAAGAACTCCGACCAAAACGTGCCTCAGATTACGATCGGAATTAGCAGGCATCTGAATGAATTTTATATGGATCCAGATACTAAAGCAAAGTTCTTAGCCCCTCTGAAGGGATGTCACAAACTTGGGAACCTCAGTGTCAAAAACCATTCTAAAATAAAGCTTAAAAACCTTGGAAATGCCTTTCCAACAGCAAACCTGAAGGCTTTCCTAGTGAGAGTAGCCCAGCCTATTCAACCATGAGTATGTGGCGCCTTTGCTAATGTTGCGTCAAAGGAAGGACACCGTTACCGAAGGGCAGGTGCATCCATTACCTCCTCCGGGCAGTTGGGTGGACGTGGCAAACGCTTTTCCTCTTGCAAGACACGCACCAGCCGCGCTACCGTCATCTGTCCCTGTGTGGGGCCGATCATTTTCAAGAACTCCTGTGGAAAGAGCAGGAGTCAGCTGTGCATCCCCTTACCCCGCACAAGTCCAGGCCATTTCAACTTGACATTAAGATGACATTTGGAATCTCAAAATGAAAATGAACAGCAGATGCTTATCTCATACAGATACCGTGCACCAGATAGTTACTCACATTAGAAAGAGATGATAGTAACATTTATCAATACAGTTTCCTCGCCAAGACATGCAGTCACCACAACTTACTTACCTCTGTACAGGGTCTTTAGTGAAAAACAACCACGAAGGTTGTTTTCCTAAGATAAAAACATTCATTCCACTTCTTGTTTCCAAAAATATATATATATTTTTTTTAATATCTGATTTAAGCAGCAACTGCTTTCACAACCGCTTACCGCCATGGGACTGGACTCTGAATCGCAGTAGGTAAGCAATTCATACAGTGTCACCCCAAACGACCAGACATCGGAGGCGATATAGAATTTACTCTGAAGCAAGCATTCTGGAGCATACCTGTGGGCACAACACGACAGCGTTAAGCTTTATTCAGAGCTGGACAGATCTACCAATACGTGCACAACCCGTATGCATTTAAAATAAGCGTACTAGAGAGGCACGTTCTTTGTTTGTGGAGTCCTCCTACATAAATTAATGTGCCCCTAGGGCTTGGGATGCCACAGAAGTAATAAATAATGTAGAAAGGTTACACAGCAAAGTCACTGTGAAACTAAGAGTGACCAAAAACAAGACTGTGGGAAAATGGGTCGTTAAGTGCAGGAAGAAATAAAGAGCACAAGAGCAGATGAGTACAGTCTACCAGGTGCCTCTTCCTTGCTCTGGTGCTGTATCTTCATTTAGGCCTCTTACCAAAACAGGAAAAATCTCCAGGACGCCTGAAAGCCTAAGCCTACAGGAGCAGACAAGTTATGCTGCTGCACAGTCTGGTTAAAGAAAATGAGTTACAAGTTACTACCAAAAAACAGGGCTGTCGAGGTCGTCTTTGACAGTGTAGTACTCCTTATCGGTCTCGATGGCTTTGGTGAGACCAAAGTCTCCAATCTTCACTCTGTTCTCACTTTCAACAAGGACGTTTCTGGCTGCTAAGTCACGGTGCACGTACTGACGGGAGCCCAAATAGTCCATTCCCTAAGAGAGAAGAAAGCCTTTTATGCTAGTTTCTCCAATACTTCAATCACTGTTTTTCTCCAGCTTTCCCTTCGAGTGCTGCCTTGCTCAGGTGGTAATACTCCATCCAGGTTTCCTGTGACAGGTTCTCCATCTGTTGACACTTACCAGGGTCCTTTTCTGACAGCCCACCCCCTTAAACTCAACTTTTGGGTTCTTCATCTGTTGAGACTGCTCTTTCTGCTTTGCACTTTTTAATTTTCAGCTGAGCCACCATCTTCAGACCCTTCTCTCCACAGCAACTGTTCCTTTTGTGTGCTGCTAAAACTGAGCCTGTCTCTACGCTTCTTCTAACTGCCCGGTCCACCACAATCACAAAGCCAGTGTCTCTTGGAGAAAGCACATTGCTTCACGTGGCCGGACCGCACTCTGCACTTGCATCTCTTCCTCACTTCAGACTTGCACGTTGCTCCTTCCCTGTTGCCAACACGCCCTTTCTAAATGCTGTCCCCTCCCTCCTAGTACTTCAAATTCTGCAGTAGGAACAACTTCTCGTCACAGTGAACTTTTATGCAAGGGAGCCTGGTAATTACTCCCTTGCTGATCTTTGTGCCAGTAGCACCTGAAGCATGGGAGAGGCTGCTTTAGGATTCAGGTCCCTGGGGACAAAGCAAGCAAGGTTTTGTTCATACAGCAAGCCTCTCCTCCCCTCCCCCCCTCACTTTATTAAATTAAACATTAAACTAATCAAACAGAAGAGCTGCAGGAAGGCTCTAGTGCCAGGCTCACCTTGCAGATCTGAACTGCGTATTTGAGAAGTTGTTTGAGATTGATTTTGTTCTTGTTCCGGGGAAGATACTCCTTTAGGCTCCCAGAAGGAAGAAATTCCATGATGAGTTTAATCCCGCTTCCTCCTAAAACCAGAGTGTGTGTTTAATTTGCAGACACGTGACCCTTCTCATGTCATTAACACCCATAACTCTTGCACAAGCCCACAGCACTGGTAGCATCTGTAACGGTACTGCGTGACTGCGGCCAGACTGTGGGCTGACTCCCGTTAGCAGTCACTGTGCCAATCCTGAGGAGAACCTATTCCAAGCAGGACAGTTAACTGAACTTAAACTTTTTGATACTGGCTTAAAACAATCACTACTGCAAATGCAAAAATGTAAGAAAATAGAGCTCTTTTCTACTAATAACATATGCTTCTAATAACGACCTCTGGGGTTACGGCCGGGCTGCAATGATCAGCTCGCTCCTGGGACACAGCACACCACCAGCCTGTCCAGGGGCTCATTTTTTTTAACGGATTTGGTGAGAGGATCAACCACATTGCTCACATCTCGGTTAGCCAAGCACGAAAATGGGCAGGAGGAGGACTTCAGAGATAAATTGCTGCTTTCTCCGTGAAGAGAAAGATCCAAACCTGTAAGATTGAACTAAGACTGTTTTGCTTTCTAAAAATGCTTCATTTTTGAAGGAAAACGCTTACACTGTGAGTGTATACTTTTAATATTCTACGTGAAGACTTACCGTCTTCTGTGCAGATTCCCTTATATTTGACAATGTTCTCATGATAAAGATTCCTCAAGATTTCTATTTCCTTCTTGAGATCAGCGATGTGGTTCCCTCCACTCTCTGGCTTTAGAGATTTAACTGCCACTTGCTCCCCTGTATTGTCGCCTTCTGGGTCGTATCTGCAGAGTTCAACCTTGCCAAAGTGGCCCTAATTGTACAAGAAAAGATAGCATTATTTAACACAACACTCGCTAACCATCGTGTCACTGATGCACTATTTTAGGCATTTACGATTCACATCTCCCTGTTGTGACACAGAAAGTGCGCACGGACAGCTGGATACACACACGCGCATGCGCACGCTTATCTGTGTTCTGTATCTGACGTTCTCTTACCTCTCCCAAATCACGGATTCTTTTCAAGAATCGTTTTTCAAAGAGCGTGGGATCGACCTCTGTAAAGGGCTTCTTCTCCGAGACGATATCAGGATCTGGGAGTGGAAAAAAAGTCCCCAGGTCAGACAGATTCCCACAAGGACATCTTGGTCTTGACACATCAAGGCATCCTTGCTCACTTCCAGTCTGCCGCTGTTAGTGTGTTTCTGTCCCTGCTGTCACAACTTTCCTTATTTAAGCCCTGCCTACTTCTTGACAGGGAATTCCTTCCATTTGTATACGTCAGTCTATCACTTGCTGATCTTCCTCACTTTGTGGGTTGCTCACTGGGTCTTCTTCCAGACTCTGATTCAGTTTTCTCTCAACACACTTCCCACCCTGTAGTAGTTACTCAGCTTCTGTGATTTATACTAGGTATGGAACATCAAGTTTTGCCCTTAATCGATCGTCTGTTAGTTGTTCCGTAGTTACTTCAACATAAGATGAATCAGGAACCAGAGTTATCTCTGTTAATGCTCCGATTCAGTCAAGAGACTCCTATGGAAATCTCATGTTGCTCAAAGACTGTCTTGAAACAACTCAAGCTGTTGTATAAAATATGGACCATCAAGTGAAATGGCAGTAACACCAACATAACTTAGGCCCCGCGTTCAGTATGAATTAAAAACTCACATCCTATTTGCACTCATCTCTGGGAAGGGCTATTTCCATTGTTGTAAGGATGCAACACACTCCTGCCAATACAACAATTACAGCATGCAAGCATGCTGCTGTAAGGGGCCCAACTTAGCCAAATAAACCAGCCTTCCTTATCCCTCCCTCCAGCTGATAGCAAAACCAGGCCTTACTTTGCTCCTCCAGTTTGTTGATGTCTCTCATGATTGCTCTGAAGAAGGGTCTCTGATGGGCGTCGTAGTTCATGCACTGCTTCATCAGGTCAGCTAGTTCTTTGCACGATGGTGTTGCCAACACGAAATGCCCCTCGTAGAACCTCTCCTTCTGTAAGGTGCAAATGGATATTCCTGCATGAGTTTTAGCTTTTAACTTAATAAACCCGTGTTCTCCATCAGAAGATGTGACCGTGAGCTCCTTAACCCATTGTGAACTTTTACTTTGCCAAGGAAAGCCCCCTTTTCAGCAGCAACTCTACACCATCTCCTACTATAGAGAATTATTATTGTGCTGAATCCAGTGTAGCTTAGACCAACCACTTAAAACCCATGAAGTTTCTAAAACCTGCTGAAGATTTCACCTTTCAGCAGTTATTTTTCTGCCATGTTTCTTATGCACCAGGAAAAATGGCCGAGTGGAAATGCTTGCCAAGGAAACAACACAATACTGGCTGCTCTTCACAACCTCTGAGAAGGCACTGGCTTGGGGGCAGATGGGACGAGGGTGGGCTGGTGTGTTTTCTAAGCTCTGCAGAACCACCCCGGCTGTCTGCCACATGCAGGAAGCGGACGGTAGCAAGGGCAGCAAGTGCCTTTCGGCTACCTCCTGTTAAAACAACCTGGGCAGTGACTCAAGTACTCCATCATTTCCTTCAGATGGCAGCAACTGCTTTGCTCCATCGCCTTCCCAACACAGCAACACTTCAAGAGTGAACAAGCACATTTGGAACATATGCTGAGGGACTCCAGCAGAGATGAATAGAAACTGCCAGCAGTAAGGCAGAACAAGATTTATTTAAGTTTTTTTTAGATTTCAGAGTGAACAATAGTGGTGTCACACAGGAGACTAGTCCTCAACCAATGTCCAGAAGAAACAAGCAAAAGCAGAAGAACCTAGCTGCTTTTAAACAGAACCTCGGTCAGTTTATAACTGGGCACAGGGGTTAGAAAAGAACAGGCGTGAGAGCATCGGAAGTTCTGTTTAATTGTTACCATGCTCAGTTCTGAAAATCCCCAGCAAGGTCAGGCTGAAGCTGTCATTAGCAATTTTTGTAGGAAGGACAAGAATTCTCACTGCAGCCTGTGGCAATTTAGATGGATCAGCCCCTTATCAAGTCCAGCTGAGCTGGTTTTCAAAAGTTGAAAGCAACTCAAATCGGGTATGGAAACTGAAGTGCCAAAGAGGATGTGTCTAAGATGTCAAGGTAAAGTTTATGTAACATAGTTTTACCTCTGCTAACGTCTTGTCTTTCAGTGGTATTTCTCCGTTATAGCAGATTTCCCACAGCGTTGTACCAAAACTCCACTTATCTGCTGCAACGCTTAAATTTTTGGAGTCTTCAATACATTCAGGTGCAATCCAGGGGATTCGCTCAACACATTCTTAGATAAAACACAGAATCAAAGCATTTTGGAGTTAATATTGAAGGACTGAAAAAACAGCCTTCTAACTTAATTATTCTTGTCTAACAGCTGCTTAACTGAAATAAACTTAAGCTGCAGTATTTGCCCAGTTTCAGGGAAATCTTGATTCTCAAATTCCTATTTTCAGAAAGACGTTTCTGTGGCTTTTACAAGCTTGTGCCTAGAGCCATCCAGAAACCGAAAGTCCTTCTATACTATCTCGCTAGACTTAACATGACTTTTTAAGAGAAATTAATACAACAAGCACCCACCATCAGCAACACTCCTTCCTTCACTTCCATGTAGTTTTCAGATTCATGGAAGCTGACTACTTCTATTCTAGAGCCAGTTCTAGCTGGTGTAAATGATATTTTTTTTCTTTTGCCTTCCCCAGCACACTGAAGAGAGAAATCTGATTCCCATACCATACCTTGTCTGGACAGCACAGTTATTGGTATTCCTGGGTCGCTCAGCTTTATGAAAGGACCGTATTCAGTGTCAATTCCCTCTCTTGCCAGTAGGATGTTTTTAGTACACACATTTCCATGTACCAAATTCTTATCCTCCTACAGCAAAGGAGAAAAAGAATATAGTGAGTCCAGTGAGCTAGCAATGCTCTGCAAGTGCTCTAACGTACCTATAGCATACGGGATCACTGTAAAATACTCCAAGCTGAAATCCAAAAATACAGCTTATCCTAAGAGAAAAACAGGGAAAGCAGAAGCAGGGAAACATACTGTTCACACTTAAGCATTTGTATTTGTAGAGCTGATGCATTTTGGAGGAAAGACCAACATTATATTCCTTTTTCACAAAGAGCATCATTGCTCACTGCACAGTCCCACTACCCGAGAAAGGAAATTCATTAGTTACTAATGCACACGAAACCTCCACGGCGTTAGACTGCAGCAGATATAGGCAATGCTTTTGTCAAGACGCCTTCTTACCAAGTAGCTTAGGGCACTTGCAAGTTGCTTGGCAACCTTGAATTTCCAAGGAGTTGTCAGAACTTCACTCTTCCGACGCATGAACAGATCCAGAGGCCCAAATTCAACAAACTCTTCAACCATGATATCTACAAAGTCAGGTGCATAAAGTCAGTATTGCAATAATCAGTGTCTGGAGTAATCTAAAAAGCCTGATACCATCCTTCCCCACCCCAGGAAAGTTGGTTATAGTATGTCTTTATATCACCTTCCACAAAGTGTATTTCAATGCTTGGAGTCCAAATTAGAAGGCTGAGTGGCTTTATGTAGTAAATGAACAGTAAACCTGGAAAAAAGCATTTCAAAGACCACAGGGCAGAGCCTTCCCAGGGAAATAACTTCTGCCAGAAGGCTGGTTTGTACTGACACTATCACTCTGGCATTCCAACCTCAGGGAATCATCCTGTTAGGCACTTATTCAAAGACAGCATTGGAAGAGGAAACTTGTTAGTAGAAAGGACTTTGCAGCTGCCTTGCTGTTCCAATTCCACTTCTGTCTGCACTGAAAAATCAAGAGGCAGCAGCTGCTAACCCCATCTCCCCCCGTGCTAGCACTGAACTGAATGGCTGCATTGTCCCCACCAAGCGCGCTGCTTAAGTGTGCTGCTCAGAGAGATGTTCACTGAACTCACTTTCTACATCACGGACGCAGACTCCATGGAGGAGGACGATGTGCTTGTGAGACACCTGTCTCATCATGCTTGCTGTTTCAAAGAATGCCTGTTAGAAAGTGAAAGAGGTTAGCCATTAAACCGCTGGTCTTTGTGGCAGTCATACAAGTGTTTAACAAATACAGAGCATCAAGTAACAAAACATTTGCAAAAGATTACTGTGCTTTCTCCAGTAACATCAAGGGTCAACAATGGCAGGGATGTGCCATCCCACTGAAGTAGTGGGGTAGTGGAGTGCTGTCAGAGATGTGTTGTCCTTCACTAGGTCATGTAAGCAGCCAATGCTCCTCCCTGCGCTCTCGCAGACGTGCATATGCTAGGCCTTAGCATCCCCAGTGTGACGCATTAGCCTCTCTTACTACATGATTAAGCAAAATGCAGACCAAGCAACTTGCCTGTGGCCATGTTGATGACAGAACCGGTGACAGACTCACAGCCCAACGCGCAAGGCAGAGGTATTTCCAGTAGGCAGCAGTACCCTCGTTGAACTTCACGGCTCTCAACTGACACAGCCACAAGACCGTGGGTATGAGTACGACGGTGCATTTCATACCACAGAAAGGCCTGCGTCCGTTTTCCTTGCGCTGATGTGCGTACAGGCTGGAAGTGAGCACTGGCATGCTCCAGCCAGACCCGATGCTGCTGCCCGTCTAAGATCAACTTACTGAGTGTCTCAAAAGTGCTGGTCAATGATGGATTTGACTGCCTAAAATGGTGAGTTACACCTCCAGCATTTTCCCGTTCCCCTACTATATACACAACCCCCCCTTTTTTTTTTAACGGCTGTTCATAGCATCCAATATCATGAGACCCACAGTTTGTACTACAACAGACAAAAAGGAAAAAAACTTGCCAAAGAAATGTCTCTGTGGCTGGGGTCCAAGACTTTGAGGAGGACCTTAATCTCTTTTTCATTTTGATATCCTTCATTCTCATCATCTTTGTAGTTGAGAATCCCCGAGTAAATCTGTGTTCTTGTCCCTCTTCCAAGATGTTCACCCTAAGACATAACACACCATATATTTTTCAAACCAGGACATGAAGCAAACAAGGGTAGATTTACACAAATGCTTGAATCTGCATTCTATTCTGCCTCCCCAAGTAGAGAGCGGACTTAGCCCTCCACTTGATCTGGCTACACATAGAATTATTACAGCGAGAAACCAATAACAGCATGTTATTCTTTGCTTCAGTAGTCTCTCTGAGCATACTCAGCACACTGTAAATTCATTTGATATTAAAGGGCTATTACATCTCTATTAACATCAAACAGGTTCAGTGTGATTTAACATTATTAGACTAAACACCAAATGAATAAATAATAACTGGCCTCTTATTTACAATAAGCTGCTATTGAGGCAATCTTTCATGTGTTTCCAAAAGTCAGAGGAAGTAATATTTCAATGGAACACTTTGTTTGGGAAAGCAATTTCCTCCTAAATAACAGAGGATTCCGCCTTGGGATATTTTTTCAGGAAGTCTGCATGCTGACTGCAAATATACCAATCAAAAAACAATTAACATAATCTGTATCTGTCTTCCCCGGTCAGTGATGCAATTTACAAAAAAAACCCAAACCAAACCAAACCAAAAAACAAACACCTTTTTATTTAACCAAAGAAGCTAACTGCATGATTTAAAATCTCAAGTCTTTTAGAAACATTAAATATAATCTGTGCATTCAAGCCACTGTGTGTTTTTTGATGTTTATTCAGGTCACCTACATCACTAACTGCAAACAACTGTCAAAAAATTTGGGAACACAGGTGCTAAATCAGTTTGGAACACAGGATTTTGAATGCTAAGACTCTTCAGAGCTTTTGAATATTTCAACCTTTTTTTTTTTTTTACTGTAGGATATTATTTTAAACCTCAAGTTGCCTGTTTCTCTGGTGTGTCAGGCTTTAAAAGATACAGCCACATTTAGCAACAAACCAGCTAGGAAAAGCAGCTCTTAAGACTTTAATGAATTTTTTTAAGAATGACCTTAGAAGCACGTCTTTCCGCAGACACTAGAGAATTGCTCAAATATCAATTTGATTTCTAGTGAAAGGCATTACTCTCCTTTTTCCATACAAGGACATAAAAATGTTTAGATTCTGCAATAAGAGGCTTTAATACAAATAAAGATTCAAATGAAGTTTTGCTGAGGAGAAATGGAAGTGGAAGAACCAGCCAGAATGGGGTGATTTTATATTACTTAACCAGGTACTGTGGGCTGTCACGCTTCATTGATTATAAGAGAGAAACACAGTTTCAGCCACTTACCTGCATGATTTCTTCCTTGAGGATTCGATGGAAACTCAGCTGCCCTAGGTGATAAACAGGCTGCCATTCCTGTGCCTTCTTGGTTGCAACTAGCAAGTTGGAGATTTCTGGAAGGCAGGGAGAGAAAATATTCTTTAAGACTTTTCAAACATAACTCCATTTACCCTTCTCAGTCAGTAACATCACTGTATATGCTTACTGCAAGGTAAATCCCCAAATGAATGAGGAGGGAGAAAAGAAACTTTGACTTGACTTCTGCTCAAGGAATTTCTACTCTGTCATCCAACAGAGAATTCACTAAAGGAGAGCTATACATTTTGTATTATATATACAATCTTAATACTAGCCATACTGAGGCTGGTATTAAGAAACTGGTAGTGTTTATTGCATGGAGAAATAATGGGGACTGAAAGAGGCAACATCTCTGCTGTACATTACGTAAAATAACTCACTCTCCCTCCTGCCAACAGGTACATCTCCTTTCCAGTGTGCAGGTGCGTAAGGGGTAGCTGGAGTCTCATGTCCTCTCTTTACCTCCTTGAAAATGTCTTGCTCTCTGGGAAACACTAACAGTCTGCTTCCAGAGCATTAGAATTAAATTGGGGAATAGGAAATGAACGGAAGGAAAAGACTCAAAAGCCCGGTGCTTCCTCCCCGCTGCTTCTGGTCAGGGAGAGGCACGCTTAGATACGAAAGTCTTGCACATGAATTTTGTCTTCCTGTGTTTGACAGCATACATTATTTATTATGACAGGATGGTTTTAGATGTCTGTGTGCATGTGGCCTTCCCATTACTGTGAGCAGAACATGCGTGTTGGGGCTAAACAATGATCTAGCACTCTGAAAACTATCAGTAATGAACGATACAATGGAAAAAATGCCTTATTTCTGCATCCCCTAAACTTCTTTGTGAATAACCAGTTAAATAGACAGATACAAAAAGAAGAAAAAAACAAACCAGCAAAGCAACAGAACAGGGAACAGCACAGACAATGCACTGGATCCCACTGTAACTAATGCCAATGAAAAGCTGAAGTGGGCAGTCAGCTCCTTGACTTGTTTTATTTTATTCCAAATACAGCTGTCAAAATGTAATCAAAATGTCAAAATGTTTAATCTCTCCATGCTCCAGACAATTACCAATGTTCTTCAAAGTGTTGATAAGCTCAGTGTCTATCTACAGAGTACTCTCCTCTAAAACTGTCAGAACAAGCAGGTAATTAATGTAGCTCAGTTATTCCCCTTATTCTAACAGGAAACCATTATCTGATCAAAACAATCACGCCACTGTTTCCTCTTTCATACAAAATTCAGCTGCAAGACACTTGTAGCTTACAGCAAACAATTTTAGTAAGTGTTGGCATTAACTGTTTAAGAAACGCACAATTGTCCCTGGCCTCTAAAATCTGACCTCACAGATGGATCTACTGACTGCAAGACTTGCTAACAGCCTTGCTGACTGCTTGCTAGCAGTTGCAGACCAAGTCTTCCCTGCTGCTTCATGAAGATTAATAAAGCAAACAACAGCTCCTAATGAGAGCAAACAAGCTTCAAACCAGAGGTTGCCACACAACCACTGCAGGTTGCAGTGATGCATGGTGGCACTGCCTGGCATACGTGACTTGGTGGAGCAAAGGAAGAACCATATATGGTCCCTGCTTTGCCGCAGCACTGCAGCCCATGACTCTGAGTCAGCTGTGACATTTACTTTTTAAACAAATCTAGAATTCCACCTCTGCCATCGATACTGCAGGGCCAGCTGTTTAGGTGCAATAAAGGGAAACCAGAACTTTTCTTTGTCATTTGAAAAGCTCACACAAACAAGGCTCATAAGGAGCACCAGCCCCCAAGCATCCCTGTGCTGAGCTTGTAACATTAAAAGGAAACCCTAAAACCTTGTTCACAGTGCTTGCTTTTGCTTTTTGATGAGACTCACCCTCCACAGAGAAGGAAGAAACTTTATATATAATTTGTTAAGTGACAAAAGAGCTTTCACACAAGAATACAGAACAAATCAAAGACACTAAGAATGCCTCCCACTTCTGGAGTTTGTTTTCTTTCAACAAAAAAGTTCGTTTCTTCTCTTAAAGGACAGACTACCTCTTGGTTTTGGTTGGCAGCACCTCTTCAGTGTAAAGCTTATGTTGTCTGTTCGAAGTATTTGTCCTTTCAGATGATCCATCAGCTCTTTTAAGGATGAGAAAGACTTGTTTGAACCATGTAGGAAGTACCCGCCTTTCTTCACATCTATCTGGAAGTTCTTGTACTGGACTGAATTATTTATCATCTGTTATTAGGGGCAGAGAGGAAAAAAAGAAAGCAAAATACCAATCATTAATAGGAAAGAATGTTTGTAAAGCTACAAAAGCTCCCCAAAAGCCTTTGAAATTACATACAGGACCAGTTAATCACTTGCTCCTAAGCTAGCGTCCCTCATCAGACTCCAGTGAAGTAGAAAAGGGCCCTAAAATTCCTACAACCTTCAGTCCCAGGAAGGCTCATAACAACAGTGACAGAAGAGCAACATAAAGATGCAATCATCTAACAAGTCCAATTACGGCTTCTGTGTTTTGCAGAGCCTGAGACCATGCAGAAGCCCCGACTCTTCAGAAGGAATTTTCTCTTCCCTTAGTCAAGAATTGCAGAGTCTGGACCATGGTTTCAAAATCTCAACTTAAAAATAGCAAAACTCCCTTTTACAACCCAGATTGTTCAACAAGTGAAACAAGATTTCAGGCTATTGTTCAAACCTTCCAGTTTCATTCAGAGGTATTGGGGAGGAACTTTCGTACTTATCTATCTCAAGCCTCCTGCTTCCTCACCTCTACCATACTGCAGCTTTGCGTCACCTCTCTCTTTCCTCTCTATGCCTTGCAATGAGATTGAATGATTTCCAAGACAAAGTTAATTTCTTGTTTCAATGCCTCAGTTGCCCAGTCTATTAGAAGACAGTGTTGATCATACTGTTTTTCTGCAAATGTCTACAAAAGATGAACCAAATATCAATGCTAAGAGATTACGATCATTTCCAAGAGGGTTTTTTCTTCATTTTGTTGTTTCTTGTTTCAAATGTACCTTCCTGACCTCATCATTGATCCTATTAAAATTTTTTTCTAAGAGAAGGAAAATGGTGTATGTGCTTTTACACTATCACTATTCTTGTGTGAACACTTTTAAGTATCTTCCCAAAACTAGCAAGTCAGCTGCAGACTTCCAACTGAGGTCAGTAAAATTCAAACTTCTGTGCAGTTGCTGCATTCTTCTTCTCTATTTCTAACTGGTTCTCTCACCTATCCCACCTCATGAGCTTTTACTTACCACTCATCTTTCACAAAGTATGTTCCACCAGCCAACTGTGTATATGCCCCATTCTGTGCTGCTCTACATGTAAAGGCAACTATCCTCGTGCACTAATCTTTTACAGTGTGTCAGTAGAGACACATTCATATAATTAAATCCATGTTCAAGAAATATTAGGTAAGTTGCAGTGACAAATTCTGCATGTCATCCTCACGCCGTATGAGTTTAAAAAGCTTAATTTCAATCACATTCATGCACAGTTTTATTGCTATGAGTAGAAATGTTCTGGATGTAAGGAATCGTATTTGTAGATCTAGTGTATTTGTAGAGGTAGCACAGGAGTCCAGGGAAAACGAAGCTATGAATACAAGTATCTACCGTTTGCTGCATCAGCTATCAAAGATAAGAGTGTCTGCCCTCCTAAAGAACATGAGTCTATCAACATGGATTAAAGGGCGCTGCTAGCCTTTAGCTCATTATCAAATTACTGCTGGGAATGCCACACCTGACGTACCTCTGAGCCTTCAAAACAAGTCACGGTCATGAGAATGTGGTTAATTCCTGCCGCAGTTTGTTGATGGCGTATTCCGTGCTGAAAGAGTCAACGTACACATGAGGAAAACCAACAAATGAGCAGTTGTTTCCAAAATCTATTATTAGTAAATACACAGGAGAGCAATCCTATACTAGGAACAAAAATATGTAACAGCGACTTAGAAATATTTATATTATTATTAAAACATGAATTAATTATGTGCATTACACACACTCGCATTTAGCTGCAAAAGAGCAAGGGAAGAAAGTTTTATTAAGCTCTTAGCATGCTTAATGGGGAAATTCCGCATCCAACACAGTGCACATGTAAGCTCTCAGTTTTCTATATATTGCATCTTCAAATATAAAAGGAAAAGCCAAAAACGTGGGCAGAAGGGAAAATAATTGCTTTAGCTATTTAAAAAAACCAAAGGCTTTGTGCCTCCATCCACGGACTCCCAGGATCAGTGTAGATATAGTTCAACTTTGTTTACCTAAATATTCCCATCTTTTTTTATTAGTCAAGTAAGCCTCAAAATACTCCTGTAGTAAAGAAACACTGGTTCTATAGATGAGTAAGTAGATGTGGAAAGTGATTTTTTTTTTCCTAGAATCATTAGGAAAAATAACTTGTTCTACAACCTTTTGTTAACTAACAACCTTCCAAATGTCATACTTCCTCAATGGATTCAATATGCAGCAGTACTAGAGGACTAATTATTCAAGTGAAAAAATTAATATCAAACATTTTACTAACCAAATGGGTCCATGGCATCCATTTTTTATGTTGTGCTCAATCAGTGGAGGAGCCACATCTGTGCAGAGGTAATGGTGGGCATCTGCTGTAAGTCTGAAGTACCCGTCTATCAATGATGCAAACGACAGGGCCTCATCATGTGAGGACAGTTTTAATTCCTACAACAAAAAGATATTTTAGTAAAGAATTTACTTACAGTTCTGTTAAAACATTTCAGGAGTGTTTTAATATCCAGCAATTACTGCATGGAGTGGCTAAAAAATTGTCCAGAAACCTATGACAGAAAACCATACATATTTAGGGAGCCAACGCTGACCATACTCTATCTTCCTCACTCATTACCAGCTAGAAACTTCTATTCTCCAGCGTGACTTATTGTCTGCCACAATCCTACGTGAGATCTGTAGGGCAAACTCTTGTGCCAGCCTTTGTGAAACGCCAGAAATTCAGGACTGGGGCAGTCGTGTTGGATTTGAAGCCAAGAGCACTCTGGCAGCTCCCTTCCAAATTCTAAGAGCTGGCAGCCCACAGCAAGAACTGGGTATCTATATACCAATTCTCCTCTCCCTCCCTCCCAGGTCCTTTCTGCATTTGTCTCCTCTCCTTCTGCCACTGTTGCTGAACTCCTCTTTCTTGACACTGCTTTTGGCTATCCAAGCTGTACATAGGAAGGCCACGGGCTGAGAACCGTATTGAGGCCACCAGGCACTGGTGGTATGCAGTAACAAGTGTAGAGAAACAACACTGCTCACCAACTTGCTGCTCTTCTACCTACCTAGCACTTCTGCATTTGTACAGTGTTGAGAACAGCGTATTTAACTGTTATTTAAGAGTCCCATTAGAAAATGTTCCTCAAGAAGGTTGTCACCTGTTGCCCAGCAACACCGTGTCACTATAGCCTCCCATGGGAGGGGAACCAATCCAAGGTTTGGTTCTTACCATTCTTTTGTTATCCTGCTTGTTAATGCTAACTGTAGATTCCTTGATGACAACATGGGTGATTTCAGGAAAATAAGAAAAATTGTTCCACGAGTCTCGAATTTTATGTTTTTCTTCATCCTTTTTGGTTTTGCCATCAGATTTTTTCTTCTTCTCTTTCTCTGTCTGTACAGTCTGCAAATATATTTTAGATAAAAGTATACTAATAAAAACATTTTTTAGCACAATGTTTTTACTCTGAAACAACAATTCATGGCAAATTAATCTTCCACAACTATTTAATTCCTGAATGCTTCTTGCACTGAATTACCAATTCATTTACATGCTGATGCTCAGTGTATCTGTATTGCAAGGATATACTTCTATCAAGAACTGTCCATGAGACAGCTTTCATAAGGATGAAAGCAAGCAGTCATTAGCTGGGAGACTTATCTCTCTCTTGGTATGCTAGGAATAATTTTAGTAGCAGTACAGGTCTGAAAGGGTTCTACTGAAATTTCTAAATTATTGTACTTGAAAGACTCGGAGCTCAGCCCAAAAGCAAGAGCCATGTTCTTCCTGCACTGCATGCCTGAATGGCCGACAGCAGACCACAATGAAGCTGAGTGTCTTGCAAGTCAAAAATTATTGAAAACTGTTATTAACTACTTATTTTAAAAAGATAAATGTTCAGGCTGAGCAAAGCTTCCTGCTGGTCACAGAAAGGTTCTCACTGAGATGAAAATCTTTGGTTTAGGCATTTAAATAAATATAATCTATAAATCAGCAGAAACAGGAGCTTTACAAGAAACAGGCTGCACTTCTTGCAAGCTTTTCTGCTCAAGTATCAGTTCTTCCTCCCCCCCCGCACTATTAACATCATCATTCAAAACACAAATTCTCCATCATAGATAGAGATAGTTAGGTTACATCTAAATGGAGTGAAGTACAATACTTTCTATGCTACAAAAGATAGCTATCAGTGGGGTTCTCATCACTGGGGGGAACTGAGGCAAGCAAAAAGAGGTCTGTTTGCTCAAATATTGTATGTGGAGAAGAACTGTAGAATATGCCATAATCCCGGCAAACCTAGAGCATATTTAGTATTTATGTACACGAAGTACAGAAGAGGTTAAGCAAAGTGACCTCAATTAGCAGCACTGAAACAAGGAACAACATATAAAATATCACTGATGCGAGAAAGCTTAGCTTTAATGTCACTATATTCTAATTTATTCAGGAAGAAGTCTATGAGTATGAACAAGTACGGCACCTGGCGTGCCATATACAGAAAAAGCATTAACAGACTTTGATATCAAGATAGAACACCAAACCATAGGGGCCTCCACAGGCATTAATCATTCAAGACTTGTGTCTGATCTGGCAGATATAATAATTTTCCCAGTGAATCTTTCTGGTGAACATGTTTGCCCACAGAGGCTGTGTGGTGTCCATGCCTGGAAGTTTTCAAGACCAGAATGGATAAAGCCCTGAGCAACTTGGTCTGATCTCAAAGCTAACCCTGAACAGGGGGTGGGACTACAGACCTCCTGAGGTCCCTTCCAACCTGCATAATCCTATGAAAGAAGCCTTTTCAATAAAAAGCTGATCTGCAGTGTCTGAGGATTGTGACTATTTTTTAACAGTTGTTATGCCTCCAAAAGCAATCCTCTAAAACCCATTTATCAAGGGATACTTACATTTGGCTTGAGCCTCCACTGAATTCCATTATTTCCTGTTACGATGACTTCATATAGTGGGAGGATCTCATTGCCTCCACAATTAAATCTATTTATTTCATTCTCCGATGAAATCAGCAAAAACGAAGTCTCAAAAATTTCTGCTCCATAATGTTTTGTCAAGGTCTCCATCGTTGACAAGTATTTAACTTTCAGATCACGTGAAGACACATTACTGTCACAAATGGTTTTGTTGTTAAACTCTTTAAGGAAATGCTTGAAAACATTATTTATCCGAATCCTGGTTAAGAAGTTCCTCTGTCTGATAGTCTTGTTCAAAGTTTCGGGAATATAATGCTTATAACTAGAAGGAAAAACAATGCTATGAGTTAATACTGTTGTCTCCTAAACTTTTAACTCTTTCAAATGTGCAAATGCCTTACTTTGAAAGTCCCAGAGAACAAGATGCAGTAAACCACTGTGCAGTTGGTAATGTAGCAGTGGTTTACAGCATTAATAGCCAACAGGAATTCAAATAACCACCTTATCTGAAATCTTTTTAGTCAGATGGATACAGCCCATTCAAATCAGTAATATACTTTATTCTAACAGTTGTCCCATTAGGTTGGCACTTAACAACACTGCCATTTCTGAACCTACTAACCCCGAACCCTGAATTTTACAGCAAGTCAATCAGTACCCAACACACCAGCGTGCTCTGGGTGCACACAGCTGCATAGATTTCAAGTACTCTCAAGGTAAGAAAAAATTCAGGTTTTCTAATACATATCCCTATTGAAAAGATTAGGAAGACCCACTGAGCAACAGCAGTGTTGGAGCTTGTAACTCCTGTACAGTTGATCCTGGAAGGTAAAACACTTAAAATCCTTTCTGAAGATCTAACAGTGACAAAGAAGTTCTCCCAACTTACCTGGTGTCTTTGGGAAGCTCCGGAAGCTTCACATTTTTCTTGATGGCATCGTGAGAGATTGCAAGGACAGCCATCCCCAGACATTCGTTTTCAATTTCATGAACCTCTTGATCATTTTTAGGATCACGGATTGGCGCCAGGCCTTTCACCAAGTCATACTGACCCTTAATAGGAAGCAAAAAATGCAAGCTACCAGATTTGGTATTTGTCATAGTCCATCTTTGAGCAACCAATATATCACCAGATCACAGGCTCTCCTCAAGCAAGAAGAGTCACCCAAAACTGAAAGCCAGGACAGAAAGGGGTAGGAGAAGGGAAGAGCTGTGCAATAGATGCAGTCTCCTCTTAGACCAAAGAAACAGAAACACAGGCAAGCACTAATCACCCCACAAACCCTGCCTTTTTGAGAAGAAACACCAACATCTGTGCCTGACAGAAGTCTTTTAAAATGACAGTTTGTGGAACAGGAGGAATTGCCACGTGGATCATTACAGCACATCCATCCCACACACAATCCACAGCGCTGTAGCTTTCACCAAGAACGTGTGTAGAGACCCAGGTAGAACACCTGCACTGCTCAGACACTTCCAAAATCCCTGTCCCCTTCTTTTATACATACCTTATCCCAACAAAAATTCCCTTTTTTATAATTAGCTGAAAAAAACACCACCCCTGTCCTCTTCCAGCACCATCTTTTTTTTTTTTTTTTTCTGGTACACAACAAATACTTTGTGTCTCTGCTTTATCTCTGCCCTTCATCACCTGGTGTCTCTATGAACCCCATGCTCTCAGTCTCTTAAGCCACATCTCAAAGCCAAGATTGCAAACTCTGTGGCCGCCGCCGTGCTCTGGGACAGTCTGAAAAACATTTGGTTACCAAAGAGCACAGACATTTCTGTTGCCTTATACTAGCATTAGTGTTTTTCTGTTTGGCTTTTTTTTAAATGTTGTTACCCAAAAGTAAAATTCTGCTTAATGCAATATTGTCTTACAATATTCACTAGGGTCCCTACTCATTCCGCAACTTAAATGGTGTTTTCATTCTTTTTGCTGGCACTCAAAAAAAGGAATAAAAAAAAGGACAAAACAGAGTTTTGCAGCATGTTCTCAAACAGTGATTTTGCAAAGCTCCATACAGGTACACAGGAATGTTCACAGAAAACAAGCCATAAGTTGGTTCTATTACAGAGAAAAAAATATTTGCTTCTTTTATTACTTCAGAATGCAAGTGGTACCACTAAAATGCACACATAGCTGTGGCTAGCTTAGTATTTTCTTTTATTGTGGCTTCACAACAAAACAACAAGTATTCACTGAAGCAGCTTCAGGCTATCTCTTTTTCTGAAGGACACAACCATATTTCAAAATCTGAAAATTTTGTAGTAATTATACTCAGAATTAACAGTAAACATGTTTTCCTCCAGCGCATTTAATTTTCTCATTTCACAAGCCTTCATCAGCTTCAAACTTCTCATTTATTTGGTGAAACCAAATAGTTTCTCGTTTGCAAAGTCATTTGTGTGTATGAACTTTTTTGTACAAGAGCACAAGCTTTCTGAAACAGGGACCCTGCCTACTTGCCATGTCCAGCATGGTGCATGGACCACCACCAAGTGGAAGGCACAACAGAAGGAAAGAAAAACTGCATGTATAAGCAGGCTGGGTGAGAGTGGTGTTATCAGTCAATGTTTTAACATAACCCAGTAAAAAAAGTCATTAAAAGGACAACATATTGTCAATTTTAATACTGCTACTGTTCATCTATAGGAATATAGATGTCAAAGTCATTATGTGCAGATGTTTTGCAAAAAAAAAAAAAAAAAAGGTCACAGTATTTATACCCTGAAATATTTAATATTAAAAGAAAGTATGCTATAAAAATATAGTCCTTTTTGGACTGTGAGATAGTTTCTTTACACATTCTAAATATGGGTAGATTGTTCTTCATGTAGCAAATTCTCTCCACCACACAGAAGTATGAAGAAAACATTTATCAATACTAACAGGTAAGGTTCCATGTACTTTAAAAGTTTGAAAATAGGTCTTTAAAGCAGTTTGTAGTGAGTCAAATAGATTTTGTGTGACTACAATGGCAGAGATACTTGCAAGCAACCTCTTACCTGTGCAAAGATGTATTCTAATGAGTTTGCATCAAGTATAGGGGTTCCTTCTGGTGCCAGCTTCTTCTCGTAAGAGTTCTTTGCCTTCCTTGGTGAATGCCTCCACACTGAGGGTTCATTTTCACTAGTCCCATGCCAGTTTGTAAAGTAGTACCTTGCAAGAAAAGAGGAATAAACTTTAAACACTTTGTGGGAAATCCTCCACTTACATTAGACTCATAATTTAAACTTTTAAAAGAAAACCAGTTACAAGTCAAAATTCACCAATCTTCTGCCCTGAGGTTGCAACTTAAAGTGGCCCACTGCTGCAACCGCATGCCTGGCCTGAGGAACTGAGGAAAAATGGTGAATTAGTCAAAGGTCTTCAGCATTTCCACTCAACAGTATCTCACTCTTAACTCACAATACCATGCCTTCCTGCCTGTCACATCCCTTCGCAGTCCCCGGAACAAGTAGCCACCACTCAGATGACAATTACGTTTCCATCACCTTCCATTACTCGAGCAGTGTAAGAGAGTGTAATGCTTCGACTGTACAACGGTTGGCATTTGCATTCCAAGATCAAATGGCTCACATAAAGGGCTAACAAGACTTCAGGCCTCCTCCTCCACAGGCACCGAAGCAATGCAGAGGACAGAACTGCCGTGAGAGGTAAGCAGTACTATGCCTTGCTCCCTGGAATTTCTGCTTCCCTTTGGTTTCAGATGGAGCTGGTAAAGAGACACTAATTCAACTCATCTGGTTTTAAAGGGAAACAGTCTTTCTTCTGTGTATATTACAAACAAGCTTTTTACTCATACCTGTACACAAGGCTATTCAATTAAAAACCTGCTAAAGGAGTTGGCATCTGCTGAAAATAAATGAAATTTTGGAGGTCAAGCCTCTGTTAGCACCTTTTGAGAAACCTTTGCCTATGTGAAATGTGAGGTTTTAGTAACACTTTAAATGAAGTGAAGTTTAGTTAGGTCTGGTTTGAATCAATGTGCCTTTTGCAAAGGTTCATGCCTTGCACATGATCATGAACTACTTACAATTAAAAGGTTGCAGCAGAGCAGATTTACCCAACTGCTAAGTAGGAAGGATTTCTGTAAGACTACGTCAATCTAACTCCAGAGGAGCATTCAGCACTAGGATGAGCAAACAATGCAGAATTTCTGCATTGTGTGTATATATATATTACTGCATTAATACAAAGGGAGTTGTAAAATCAAACATTTCTAATGGACAGTGAGCACCATGTCACGTAATTTCTTTCACATCACCATGAAATCTCGACAGCTAAGCTTTTAATGTCTACCTAAATATGTGAACAGCAAAATCATAAACACTTTTTGTGACCAAAATTACTACCTTATAATCTACAAACACATTTTGAAATTACAAATAAAAAATCTCTTTAAATAAAAAATCACTATGTTGCCCAAGCAGTTTCATTTCAAATATAACACAATAAAAATTGCAAGAGACGTGTCCTGGAAAACAGGAAGACTGCAGGCAGACAGTAAATCAACCAGCAAATGCTTATGAACATTATGGTGCAGGACAACTCGCATGCGAATGCACTTGTTTTAAAATATGTGACTATATCTTTGTGATTTGTCTCTGACCAGAATGGGAGTTTGTGGATTAAGCCCCAATTCTGCGGTGGTTGAGGTTGGTGTATGTCAGCCTCAGTGCAGAGTCAGGATCTTACAGAGCAAAACGAAATCAGTACTTTCAGTTCAGCACCATGTCTTTTAATCACACGTGTTATCTGCACAGTAAGTTGACCATTCAGATGAAGAATTCTGTATCAAATTACTCCTTAAGAGGTGAGAGTTTCTGTACTGTGTTTCTGTCCATCCTTTCTTTTTGGTAAGTCTTTTTAAGTCCCTGAAACCATGTATCAATAGCATGAGTGGGAACACCAAGACACAACTTGCCAAAAACTCCTGACAAGTACTGTAAGCAGATACTGCAGAACTCCGTTGGCTGAAGCGTAAAAAGCAAAGGAAAGCAAATCTTCCTGCCTCCAGGAAATTACTTTGTTTCTGTATGCTCCTTTATAAGATGAGCAATAATTAATAACTCCAATTCTTTTGGTATTTCCCAAAAATAATTATGGGCAAGATACTGTGTATTGTTTGTAACTGAGATGACAATCTGCTCCTTTCCCCAATTAAGCTGCACTGATTAAGACAACACTTATTAGTTACAATAAAAATTAGAACCCCATTGTTTGAGGAACCATATCAATAAAGAAGAACAGTCTGTGCCTTGAAGAGAACGATAGACCTGTGGTAAGGGGGTTGCAGAATATTACTACTCCTCTTTCACAAACGGAAATGGGAACACAAGCTTTCCAATTTGAAAGTCCCGCAAACAAGCTGGAAAGAAGACTGCGTGCTCCCCAATTTTACGAGCATGACCTACCCCTGCTTTAGAGTGCTTTAGCCCAGGGCAGGCACCTGCAGCATGGATGAGAGTCAGCAGGGGCAAATTTTGGGAGTCAGCTCAACCAGGTCAGCCCTGGAAAGGAGCAGTTTTGCACTTCACCCATTCAATTTGGCCAAGGAGTGGTGGAAATGCTGGAGGGTGACCTGCTGTTCTCTTCCACCTACAGTGGCTCTGATAGTCCTTCTTTCCAGAGTTTCCAGAAACACATACATTGGGTCTCTTCTCCACACCAGGAAACATTGCTACCCCTGGCTTAAACACAATCCAGCTATGGAACAGTTAAAACTCCTCCATCAGCTGGTGTGCTAATTAGTCCAGGATATTACAAAATAATGTGGTTTCTTATGTTGTAGACTGTTGGGTTTTTTAAACTTAAGGCAAGTGAAAGAAATACAGGGCTAGTTACAAAGTTTCTAGTGAAAAGCAAGTCCTTTTCAAATATTACCAAAATCACAGCAGCTAGCATAGGTTTGATAGGGAGAGGAGAAGGACCAGAAGTCCACACAATCAGAAACCAAACCTAAAGCTTTCAGTGGTGGAAGAAAAGTTAAACATCTGAAAGCATTTGAAACTACTCAGTCACATACCTTCATTTTATAGATATAATTTTAATAGGACATGACTAAATCAAACCTATCAATGTAATGAAATTTCAGAAAGAAGGTTATCCACATAAAAATGGATGACTATATACCATCTAATATACTGCACTATCAAATAAGCCCAGATCATCTTCCTTTTTCAACAGGAATTCTGCCTCTTGCAGAGCTCAGAATAAACAATATTCATTTAGAGAACAGTTTCACAATCCTGTATTGCTCATAATTTTTCAGTACTCAGCCCGGCTCTCAATTCAGATGCCCAAGCCAAGACACACAACAGATCAGGATTAAAAGAAAGGAAAATATCACTTCACCAATACACTACAGTATTCCTAGGGAGACAGGAATCTTTAGATTTTAGTACCTAAACTCATGGAGTCTCTTCTTAAACGCATATGAAACTCTTTTAAATATGTATTATTGGCCCAAGGTTTGCCAATTTTTATGCATGAAGTACATCTGACAAAAGAGATGCCCCTGCCAAACTTCAAATCCCAACTCCAAAGCTTAAAAAAATAAACCACCAGACCTTTTAAATACAGAAAACAGTGCATTTTCCATAGCTTCATTCCATAAAATCATAGAACAGAAAAATTTGCAGAAAATAAAGTTCAACATAGAGTAATTCTGCCCACATACCAAAAATTTGATAGAGTTGTGAACAGCCAAAGATTAGTAAGAGGGAGCTGTTCAAGAAGTTTTAAAGAAGGTGGTGCTACCTGCTGTGCAGGTAAGAGGCAGTACAAATGGAAGAGTACCTGGAGAGAGTGCTCATTGTTCAAGCAGAAACAGATAAACACCAAACACGGCAGAAACTATTTTTTTAAGAATTGAGTTAAAAAGAGCATCATACTTCTAGATCAGAGGATTCAATTCCCACAACTACATTTTTAAAATACCATCTTCTTTTACTGAGAAAAGCAGACCACATAAAAGAATTTCAGTATGAGGGGAAAATGCCCCAGATTCACATTATACCAAGAAATTTTATTATCCAGTGTATGGTTAATCTGACTGACCTCTTAAAGCAAGAAGGGGCACTTAATGCTCTGTAAGAGGCCATTCAAGTCCTCAGAGATTCTTTTAGCAAGTCACTCGATTCCCTTATTGTACCGTGTTTATCAGCCAAACTTAAATCACAGCTGTTTAAAGCTGAGATTAGCCAAGGTTAAGTCATTAATACTGCTAATAGACTGTTAAAAAAAAAAAAAGAGAAAAGACTATACTATCCTCTTCCTCTTCTAAAAATAGGTATTGGTATTTTAATTACTTGAAAAGCAAAGACGGTTTTGTTGACTGTCAGCATTTTCCTCCTAACAGTTCATCCAACAAAAATAACAATTCCAGTTGGAACAAATGTAATCAGAATTGAAACACCTTACAGTTCAAAGATCACATTTTCAAAGCTCTCTTCTCTTACATGCCTACACAAAGTGGTGGTTATTCTCTAACAAGCCTAGGAAATGATCTGGGGGCACAACCTGAGGTCTATACATGCCACTTCGCCAGTTAGCATGTACAAGTGATAGTCATGTTGTCTAACTAGATATTATCAGGAAAAATATGTTAAAATGCGTACAGCTTCAAGTTTTTTCTCTATAGCCCAAACTGACCATGCATGTGAGTATTACATTTTAAGACAAAGCTTATTTTCTTACAGTTGTACCTTGAAGACTCGACAAGAATTATCTGTGGACTTGCTTTAGGAAGATGGGTAAAGTTTCTAGACTAGTTATTCCTGGAAGAAAGGCTTATTCTATGCATTTTTCTCCTGTATGCTACACTTCAAGCTCATATTGATGCAGGAAGAAAAGTCAGAATAAAAATCAAAAAAAGAAGGCAGTATAATGTGCAGAATTAGATTACTAGAATATGTGAGAGTGCTCAGCAACTGTCAGCATTACTGCTTTCATTTTCCAGTGGATGAGGGCTGGTATACCGATTCAGCCCCAGAAATCTCAACAGGCCATGTGCTATATATTAAGAATGCCACCTGAAGTTCAACCTGATGGTATGTGATGGAAAAAGATCCCAGGAACAACAGTTCCTATTTTCTGATAGTCTAGTGCATGCCACCCAGTGAGGTCACACAGATTCCCCTACAGTCCTCAAGGAGAATTTCAAAAGCAAAATGGAAACTGAAACATGCAAAATACTGACATAATAAAACAACGTTTTTCAGCCATTTTTTTTCAATTTAGCTTTTAGCTAGTTCAGTCACCTACAGTTTTGTGGATACAGGTTCTTGGGGTTTTTCAACTTCTGGGGCTTTTTTCAAGGTTGTATCGCAAAGATGAAAAAAAATCAGAAGACATTTTAAGCTTTTACTGTTAATCTCTTATCTATGCTGTGAAAAGCAAACCTGCTTCTTTTGGTTTTGCTTTTCTGCTTCTTCGGTGAGTTCAGTAGTAAGAGTTAGAGCATCTACATATGGTTAAGGAATAATTTTTAAGATCTTTTGCACTTACCTCATTCGATAATGGAGCCGGTGTGATGCTTTTTCATCTATCTTAAAGACCTGGTTTGGTGCATACCAGAGTCTTTTGTTTTCATCATACAATGCAAAGAGATTATGGCACAGAGGAGATATAGCTGTCAGAGAAAAGGAAACAAACGTATGCATCACAAGGCTACAATACATACACACACCTCAAAAATACAAACACATGAAGCAAATATCTGGTCTTCCAAAATATACCATAAGAAGAAATTGATGCTAGGATTTAAAACAACCATTAGAAAGTTATGGTTAAAGTGGAACTGCAAACTGCACATTGGTTCACTCCATCGGTTTTACCGTGTATTAAAGAGCGTACCCTTTTAGCTACTTCTAACATTAAACGTCTTCTGAAATCCTGATTTTGCCAAAGGTCTGAACTTAAGAGGAAATTATTTTAAAATCTTCAATTTTTCCAGATTCCAGAAATGGGTGTTTTAACAAAACCATTCAGCAATACCACAACTTTGTTCTCAGTTTTATTTTATTAATGCATTTTACTCTCATAGTTGAAACAGAATGTTTTAGTGAAATGATGAAAATCCCCTTCTCATTAGCAAACAAGCAGAAAGCATAACGTGACATTTTTCTATTCTTTACTAATTCAGCAGAGGGTTTTCCAACAAAGAATAGACTTTGACTTGTATGTCTAGGGCTGACCTGCTTTAACCTTTGCATTTACACCATCCCAGAGAAAAACAGGCTACGGTATGTTTACAGTTTACAGGTCTACCGTTGTTTGAATTCCTCGCTTCAGTTTCCTGCTCAATAGGAGGCAGTACCTTTTGCAAAAGCCCTGGTCAGGCAAGCAGCTCGGTTGCAGAGCGCACTGTAGCATGTGCTTAGGTGTTTTTCTGAAATTGCGCCAACTACAGAGGACTTTGGTGGAGTCCCGAAGAATTCAGTGAAACCACTTATATTGTGAATTGGAGAGAGAGAGCAGAAGGGAAGAGAAGCCAAGGAAATAAAAACTGAACAGCCTAATTGCAAAGTTCACAGAAGGCGGGGTGTTGGGCAGCCACTGCCTTCTGCAGGTCAACAAGCATTACCGCAGATGCCACCAACTGTTTAACTATTCAAGTTGTGATTTACAGCAGAGACCAGCATCACAGGCCTGCTGAAATGGGTAAGACTTTCATACTTCACTACCATGTGCTGTGGACTTAGTGAGGAGTGAGAGAAGGCAGAAAGAAGTTCCTTTAAGGAAAGCTCACTTTAAGTCATTTCTTCAAAGGTTTTAATCTTCCAGCAGAAATTACTGGTAGCAGTTGCACAGTATGTGGGTTCACACACATACAACAGCAGCAGCTCACAGTTCTCACATGCTGACATGAGTGGGTTTTAAGTCCTCCTCATTTTCATTAAAAGTATTCAAAACTTATTTATTTTCATTAAAAGTATTCAAAACATGAGTACTTATTTGATAAGGTTTGTCCTTCAGATTCCCATCATTCCTGCCTTTCCAAGGGAAAAGAAGCAATTAGGCAAATGAACTGAAGGGTACTCAGCGTTACAAGAATCAGGATGACACGGGAAAATAAAACATTTTAAAGCTGCAGGAAAACTTGTGCCCAGTTTGCCTGCTTATACAGCCAGATTCGTCACTCCCATATCAGCTGAATAATACTTAGTGTTCCATGAGGCTTGGGGAACGCAAAACTGGGATCAGGGTGGGAAAGAACTTTAGAATTAGAAATATAAAAATACACTGATTCATGAGGCTCAAAAATAATTAAATCCACTAATTCCAGTAGTATTACATATATGTTCAAATATTTTGCTGAGTCAAGGACCACAGTGACAAAGCAATCAATCTTCATTATATATTTATGTATTACCACAATTGTGCACAGTTCAGATTATCTTAACTGGTGAATTATTAGCACTACAGACATTATAAGTCCTGCAAACAAGTGTCAAGTAACAGAAAACTAAAACCAGGAAAGTGGCAAATAGGTTTTGTTTGGTTGGGTTTTTTTCATTGCCCTCTCCAAAATGTTTTATAACATAGGACAGAACCTGACAGGCTTACCAATTAGCATATGAGGAAAAGAGAGCTTTGCATTAAGTTATTTGTATTTTGTAAGTTATTTGCCTTCTCTTATCTTAAGAGAAACCTAATCATCCCACACAAATTAAAAAAATCAGTACCTGTATCTGACAGAAACCAAGGTGGGAGATCACTATACGAATCTCAAAACAGTCTCTCCCACCATTTCTTCCACTCCCAGCAGTTTAAGAACTGCCCAAACAGACACTTGGCAAAAGTTTCCATCCTAGACTACATAACATGCATATTTCTCCTACAGACATTGACTTACATGCATAGAAGGATACATCGCTTTGATACTGCCAGGCCTTGCCACTGAGAACTTATATAAAACCCATATACTCACAACACTTCTGGGCAGCCTCAATGCACAGCTCCTCTGAGGTAAACTCGCCACTGGTGTAACAAATGGGATTTTTATCTTGCAGGTAGAAAAGTATTTCTAAACCCTGATGCTGAGCTTCCAGGTTTACTTCGCTCTTCTTTGTGCTCCTCATTTTTGCACAGAAAGCCATGGCTTTGCAATCTTCTTTTACGTTTAAATACTGAAAGTGGAGGAAAAATACTTAAGGAAAATGTGAAGAAGAGATTGAGTATTTGTCAGAACACAAATCCACTGCTTAATGAGGCTACTGCATACTATGGTGGGCTATGCACAGCATTTCTCAAAGTCTTCACAATGGTGACCTGATTATTCAAAATCAGTACTTTTCACAAATGAGGGGAAACATGAAAAAAGAAATGTCAATTATTATTCTCTTTCCGGTAACTGTTCCAAATAATTCCCCTCTGCTGAAGTTCTTGTGGTTCCACAGCTATTCTAGAAGGTTTCTCTTCTTACTGTAAAGCAGGAATAACTTTCACATCCTTAAGCACCTAACTGGCTGAAAAACAATACTTGAGGCTGGGTAATATAAACAGTACAATTTATATTTGCTTTAAAAAAAAAAAAGCTTCTATTTTTACAATCTACTTTAACAGCTAAATATTTCTGATAGTTTTCACATCTCAAACTTTGTTTTTTTCAACTTCTTATACTTATGTGTCATGGTGAAATAAGCTCTACTGAAGAGTTGTTATTTATTATTTCTATCTCCATAAGGAAAGAGTAGCACTAAAGTAGGTTTAATGCAATACCTTTTAGACTGCCAAGAATGCATACAAGGCAGCTCTGACTCAAGAGAAAATGTACGTTGCATTTTATACCCAGTGCTTAAATAGAAAGAGCAGAAAGGAACTAGATTAACACACACTCCAGGTATTATGGGGTCTGTGTTCCATGTTTTACTAAGCTTTAGCTCAATTAACAAAAGCCCAAACCACCAATTCTATAGTTTACAAACTTAATCCTCCCACCGAAAACCAAACAAAACCAAACCCCAAAAGCCAACACACCTGCATTTATGTGACTGTCTGATCCTCTACGCAACTGAAATGAATTATCTTCACACCCTCCAAGAGCAACTTGATACTGGCTGAGAAAAAAAGAATAAAAATGGTCACGTATGGCTTGTACAGTTTGAGGCTCAAAACATATGACCAGGCTGATAAAATGTCACTTGCAATCTGAGGGAATCTTTCGTTAATATAATTGAGATCTAGATCTAGTCTCAACCAAAGACAGTCATCTAGGAGTCTATATAAGTCTACTGATTTCTTTTGATTCTCCGGGTGCGCGGGCTGAGATGCAAATAAAAACCACGTTGGATTATTCATTGGTCTTTTTCATATTTTCAGAGCATCAACCATGAGTTGCAACTCTTAGCTGTGACACCAAAGGAGCATACACCTCTTTGCCTTACCTCTTTCATGGCTTCTGAAGTCATTCCAGTCTTCACATTTTTAACTACATATTGCTAATTCCAATTCTTCCCTAGTCTCTATTGTTTCTTCCCCTTCCAGATAATCAGGGTTTTTTTCTCTTTTTATTCTCCTTTATCTATGAAAGATGCAGAGCCTTGGGTGGGCAGCAGAGAATAAGGAAACTGCTCAAGGGCGTATCACTGCAAGGGTCATCCTTCTCTCAGAGGAACCTTGTTCACAAGGAGTGAAACCCATGACTTCAGAACCTTCAAGCAGCAGGGGCTTCCAGGAGACTGCTTTTTCTTTTAAGCCTTATCTAACACCACAAACTACTTCAGTATTCTGGGGCTGGTTTGCAGAACTTCTCCCACCCAAAGTTACAGCTTATCCTTATCACCTGAAGCAAACTGGGAAAATATCAGTACCATCTTTTTTTAATGGCAGGCATGACATTGCCTCTATTTAAAGTATTGTCTGGTACCAGGGCTGTAAAATTAACAAGATGCTACAGGTATAGAAGCAGAGCAGGGAAGAGTGAGCATTGGTAAGAAGTCTCCCTAGTCCCGACGGTAGAGCATGGAGCATCAGCAAAAGAGCTGGTATGCTTGGAAGGCATGGTTGTCTGTTCCCTTCCAGAGGCAGACAGGCTGCTCCTCTGCCACTGGCATGGGAATAAGCCAGATAGGGAAGGAGTCTGGTCTTCCTGAAGAGAAGGATGTGGGACTCTGTTCTGTACCTCCAGAGAGATTCCTGTGCTCTGGCACTGGTCCCACATCACTGTCCATCAGCTACGGTTCCATGCTCTCAAAGAGAAATCATCCCACCTGCTTCTCCTGGGGCAGTCATTAATTAATCGCGACAGTAAACTAAATGTGACAAAGTGTGTCTAAACTAAAAGTGACAGTACTGCTGGTTTGATAAATATTGCCCATCACTCATCTGAGGCTGAAAGACGACTCCATTCCTATTCTCCTTCCCTCCTTTTCCTCTTCTCCCCTAGCTCTGCCAAAACGTATTTGAACTAAATGTGTTTTGGTGTTGCTGCAACAGCATTAGACCTTAATCTAATATAGCAGACTTCAACAGATATTGCTTTATAAGCCTTAGGCTCAGTCTGGATAAAGTCTGATGCTGCTGCACAAGCTTCCCTTGTGCTTGGAAAGTGCCCAGCAAACATGATACTACCATAGAAAAAAATAACATTTAACAGCACAGCACACATTTACAACTAAATTGCATGTTACTTCCATCCGTGCCATTTTCATGCTAAATTTGAGTTTCCAGACACATTCCCTCAGCAGTAATATGGGGAAGAAGTAATTGAGAGCATGATTACTGGAACATGCAGACAAGCCAGTAATTATTTCTGCACAGCACCAGAAAATTTAAATGCAAAAGGTTAAGGATATTAGCTTTAATCTAATTAAAACACTCCCTTTTAAACGACATATCTTATAACTGAAACTCAATATATTTTAATGTCCGTGTGGGCATAATATTAAAAAGATTGTCCAGACATTTTAAAATGTGAAGGGAAATACAAAAACATTGACTTCTTGCAGATTCATAAATCAAAATTGTTGCTTTTCAACACAGCGTTCTTTGGTTTTGCTTAATAGCTCGTACTCTTGTTTCTAATCACGGCAGCAATTCCCAGAATACAAAGAAACCTTAAGTCCTGCTACATTTACAATACGCTTTAGGGGATGAACCAAACAAACCAACATCCAATCTCTAACTTACTGTTAATGAGTTTTCCAGATATTCCCATGTTCAATGTCAGGAGTTCACCTTTTTAAAAATGCATCTTAACAGACTTCCAAAAAGTCTCCATTGAACAGGGCAAATTCCTGCTCTGTCTTAGCAGTAGAATTTCTCACCCGTCCTACACGGTAATATTATTGTACATACAGGTCACAGCACCTGGTGACAGCCAGGACAGCGTTTCGGCAGCCCTGTGCTCCTCCAGACCGTGCTGCCTGCAGGCATGTACAGGCAGCCATGCAACTGTCCCCCGTCCGTGACTCACCCCAGACCCCTGTCCGTGACTCAGAGCTCTATTACGTTGGTTTCTCGCAAGCTTAGGCATCACATTACACAGCCCCATCACAAACTCTCGTTGTGCTTCATCTCAGAAATCGAAAGGGGATTTTTATCCTTTGCTATTTAAAAGGTCTCAGAGCCTCAGTGGACCATTGTTTTTTCTGTACCTTCTGCGGATTATCTCCCTCCCTCGTGAATGTTCCCTGATGAATTTATGGATACCAGCTGTATCCTTTCTCAGACTGCATTTTGCTTGGCTTGCACTATGCTCCATTGGTCTCTTCCTGCACTGCAAGCTCCACTTTCCCCTCCTCATCCTTGCAGCATCTCTCAATGCTTAACCCATCCTCCTCGAGCAGCACTACCCCAGGGGACAGACATAGGACCACAGGGATACACTCAGTCTCCGATGGGAGTACTCTGACTGACAGGACAGCATTTTCTTTCTTCAGAGCACATTTTCTCTTCACCTCATTTCTGTTTCTCATGGTGGAAACAGTCTTTTGTGACTCATGCTGCGAAATATTTAGGGGAAGGTAGGATGGCTCTTCTTAAGATACCACTTGTTAACCCCACATGTATGATAGCCTTCTGAGCACTCCCCAAAGCAAACGGTTTCTCTGGTCATTTAAAATCCTGGCAAACATATACACATGTACTTGCCACCTTCTTAAAAGTCTGTATTTCAGTCGCAGAGTAACCCAGCTAGCTGGCAGGGTGAGCAAATCCCCAGCCTGGTGCACCACCAGCAGAGGGGGACAATGACTCATCCTTTGCGCAAGGGTTACAACCACAAAATCTGTGATTCTGGGTGCACACAAAAACAAAACCATGCACTCGCGACTGCCAAAACTCACATTTAATTTCTTTTGATGAGGTCAATGAACAGATCTGGGAGCCCACAGAAAATATTTTTTTCTCATACACAAAATTTTGGTGTCAGAAAGATGAAAAGTTAAAAAATAGGAAGAGGGAATTCTAAAGGTGGGTTGTTTAAAATTGGTTTGTTTCTTGTTTGGCTATTAAAACTTAATGAGATATTTGGAAGAGAATAATATTTAGTAAAAACCCAAGTTCCTTGCCACAGCCAAGATCTCTTTAGTAAAAGCAGAGTGGTTCAAGCCCAACAGTCTGGGTATTTCTAAGGGAAAAAAACCCCACAAATGTACAACACTATCTGTTAAATAACACCTTTAAACTTTTGTATGCCTCAAAAATCAAGGAAAGAAAAGGTGGAGGCACAATTTAAATACTTTAGAAACCATTTGCAAATCTTCCTCGAACTGGAAGGAAGGAGTTAACCCACTGTTGTGGAAGTAGGAGCCTGGGAAAGCCCACCTGGCTCCGAAGCCTCCTGTGAAGCTGGGACATCTGCATCTGGCCCTTCCAGGAGTCCCCCTCAGCAAAAATATGCCAAAACACAAAAAGAACTTCAATTGAAGATGGAAACAGAGGATAAAACTGCCAGCTGGGAGATACTTCAAGATGTCAGATACTAACAGAAACTGGCTACAAGCTCCAATGGATATTTTGAAGAAAACTTCTCACCTGAGTTCAAACAAGTCTCTAGGTGCCACATAGCTCAGGCTCCCCACCTGAGCAGACAAAAGGATTTGTTTGGTTTTTACCCCAACTCAGTTTTCTTGCTCTCAGCGGGACACACTTAAATTTCTCCCAGAACTGCCATAATTCCCAGAAGAGGGGCACTACAACACAAAGGAGACGCAAGCAGAGCTGCCATGCCTGACAGGCAAAATGCCCTCAGCTGCCCGAAAGCTGCTGCCTGCACGTGCTGCCCATCCCAGCTGGACCCCATAGACCCAGCATCCTTTGTTTTCCATTCATAAAACATTTTAATAAGCAAAGGGAAAACACAAAACCCACACAGGTTCTGTGAAGAAACCCCCCCAGCACACCTCCATGCTTAACTTGAGGCAAACCTGCGCACCAAGACCTGCTTGGATTTAAAATGCAAGTTTTGCTTCCAGCTTGTTTTGGGGAGTTCTGACAGGAAAACAGACTCCAGCCAGTGCTGCTGACCCCCCATGCCGGCCCTGCTACACCACCACCCCTGCGGCCTCCACGCTTCCCACAGTGAACAAAGAACATGGAAGCCAAATGCAAAGATGGAAGGTCTGTTGTGGGGACAAAAGTCCCTAAAATGTGAGGAGAGGAAAATCCCAGATAAAATCTGACCGAACCAGAACTCGTTTTGAAGTACCATTTGCAAGCTCTTCCTCTTTTTTCCCCCCTCAGCCAATTTAGTTTCTGGTTTCATGACAGGGGGGATGTTTATGATTGCTTATGCTAACAAAGTAACAGACAGGCTTTCCTTAAGCGTGCAGGGCATGTCATTTTTGTAGTATTCATAGTTCATGTCAGCCCAAAAGTTCTCTGTTATTATTATTTTTTCAACACACTAGTAAAGAAATGTGTCACAGCCCATCCAGCACAGGACATGCATCTAATCTAGTGTAATGTTAGAGGTTCATTTAAAATAAAGCCAGGTGCTCTACTTAACTTCATAAATTTTAACAAGAGAAAATGACAGTACCGATACGATAGCAAAGAGCGCTGAAGCAGCACATTAAAATCCCCAGTCACTGAAGGGGCTATCGCACTGCTGACC